CCCCCCCCCCCCCCGCCCCCAGCCAGCTCAATCTTCCTGCTGCCCCTCTGCATGCCCCCTGCTTCAGGGGACTGTCCGGCAGGACCAGGGTGGGGCAGGCGGTGCCTGACCTGCAGGAAGAGCCACCGTGCAGGGGTCTGGGGGGAGGGGTACGTTTTGGGCTGGGAAGCCACTCCTGGAACATCAGTTCAGGAATCTGGGTCTAGCTGTGTCCCTTGGGGATCTTCCTGTGCACCCAGGGCATGCTCAGCCCACCATACAGACCATTAGTTTCCACATCGGCCCACCCAATGGGGTCCCTGCCCAGAGAGGCCGCCCACCGCCCTCACCGTCAGCCATGGCAGACACCTCGTCCTGCAGCGCCAGGATCAGCTTGGCCTCCCGCGTGAGGTACTGGCAGCGGCGCTCCTCGTGCTGCAGCACGGTGGCAATGCGGCGGGAGAGGTTGTGCAGACAGTTTATCACCGATGGGTCAGCATTGGCCTGCAGGAGAGAGGCCACAGCCAACTCGATCGCAGCACATGCACTCGGGGAGGACATGCAGCAACACTCAGAGCCCCTCTCTGGGTGCCACCACTGTCCCCAGTCCTGGGTCCCCTCTAGGGCCTGTCCCAGCAACGTGGGCATGGAATGGCCACCTGGACGGAACACAGATGGCTCCGTGGGGGTCCCTGGTGGGGAAGGAGCGGGGACACAGGCATTTCTAACAAGCAGAGAGAGGTGCCCATGCTCAGGGCCCCAGGCCAGGGCCATGCAGGAAGGCAGAGGATGTTCAGGCATCCACTCTGGACGTGACAGAGGCAGCCCAGTGGCACAATGGAAGGCACAGATCCCATCAGCCACCTGCTGTGAGACCCCGGGTCACAGGCTCTCATCTGAGAAAGGAGAACAGGTGCCCCTCTCTCAGCAATCAGTCAACACGTCAAGTGCTCAGAAAAGAGCAAAACCCCTGGCAGTGTCTGCGGTCACCAGTGTGCCGCTGAGTGCTAGTGGACAGGACCGGCTGTGTGAGAATTTGGTCACACAGCCCATGTTACAACAAGGACACAGTGTGAGAAACAGAAGCACCAGGCCCACTGTTCAGTGAAGACCTGTCCTCAGGGTAAGCAGCTCTTCCTGAGACCCTGGCTAACAGAGAAGCCAGGAGGCGCCAGGCCATCCCCTTCACTCCGCGCCCATGCTCACTCTGGGACCTATCGGGGGCCACAGCCAGGCCAGGCTGGCGCATCCACCCAGGCCAAGGGTGGGGCAGGCAGCTGTGGGGTCTGTGAAGATGGGACACAGAGCAGATAACCAGCCACCGTGACTCAGCGCTCCAGGAGGCCGCCAGAACAGCTGAGTCATCCCGTGGGTGGAGGTGGGAGGAGTGGTGTCCACGATTAGAACCTCTGGTCGCCCCGCTCCCAGTTATCTACAGGCAGGGCCCTGCGGTGAGTGTCCACAGCCAGGTTCCTGGGCCAGACCCTGACCTGACTCAGTAAACCTGTTCACCACCTGGAGCTGGAGACACTTTCTGAGCTCCTACAGACCCGTGTTCGCAAACAGAACACACCCCAGGCAGCACACCTGTGCGGGGACAGGGCTGAGGGCTGACTCCACACCGGGCCCACCTACGGGCTGCAGCCCTGCCCCAAGCCCAGGACAGCCCCTCAAGTGTCCCCGCAAGGTCACGGAACGGAGGGTCTGGGGTATAGGGTGTGCACAACTGCCTCAGAACAAAATGTTCTGCTTTAGATTTGAGAGAAATCTGTGTAAAATTCCTCCCCGCAGCAAAGCAGAGAGAGGAGGATGGCCTGGGCGCGTGGTTACTCCCTTGAAGAAGTAGCCCAGTCACACCCGAGAGCCTGACCCTCCATCGCGCTCCTACTGGCTAGCGCACAACCGTGTCGCAAGCCAGGCGTCTGGGGCCGCTCGCTCACACTCCGGGATGAGCGAGGATGGAGCGTGCCTGCGTGTCCCAACCGGCTGCACAGGCCAGGCTCGGCTCAGGGTGCCCACAGAGCCTGGGCTATGTGGGGCCACAGTGAGGAAGCGACCACCCAGGACGTGCCAGCCCTGAATGGAGCTCTGAGAAACACCCACTCTCCTCACACGCGACATGAAGCAACAGTGAAGTGTAGGGATTTGCCTGCGAGATTTTCTCACCCTGAAACTTGTACTCAAATCCAGTCAGGCCTTCAGAGCTAACGTTCAGCTTGTGGAAAACACACGGACACGGAGCAAGCCTGACTGCACACTGAGATGGGTCCGACTGTGGACTCTTCACAGGACAAAGGAGGGGAGAGTCAGAGACCTGGAGACACAACCCCCAAGCTTGTGTGGGCTGGCTTCTGGTTTTCACCCAGGTTCAGACAGGTCAACGGGAAAAAACGCTGTGGCAACTAGGGCATGTTTCCATGGACCAGGTACTAGTTGATACCAACTTACGGTGAGTTCTGTCAGGTATGGTATAAAATAGCTGTCCCCCCTTTTCCAGAGACGACTTCTGAAGTATGTGGGGGTGAGCAGACATGAGGTCTGAGACTTGTCTTGAAATACTTGAGCGATGGGGTTGGGGGCAGATGGAGCCAGGGTGCAAGGCAGCAGCTGTGGGATCTCAGAGACAGGTGTGCAAGGACCATCAATCTATTGTCACTAGCTCAGGGTTTGTTTACAACTTTTCAAAGTAAAAAGGGTGCACATTTTTTTTTTAGTGTGCACATTTTTAAATGACTACAGAAAAGAAGAAAAACACTGGCCCACACTTTATGCTATTTTAAATTCCTCCCACTGTTCACCTCACGGCCTCTGTGCTCTGAAATCCTACACTGCCCTGTTCCCACTGCTTTAACCTGGCAGTGAGCCACCCACCCGCTCCAGGGTCTGGCCTCGCCCCCATTTCTCATCTTCAGTGGCCACAGGACGTTCCAGTGTGTAAAACCACTACCCTGTCTAATCATTCCCCAACTACTGGATACCAGGATTATTTCCAGCCTACTTATTATAAAAATCTTCATACAACGTTAAAATCTGCCTGTTTTCTTGACTGTCATGTCCATGGGTGTCATACACTCCGCTATCACACCCTGCTCCCCAGAGATGAGGGCTTGCCAGCAACGTCCAGGGTGGGGCTGAGGCTGCTTCTCATGGCCCACCCCACAGGGGTTATCAGTGCTGACGGGGGGGAGAGCACTGGTCATGGTTTTGGTTTGTCTGTCTTTAACTTGAGTTCTCTCTGTGGATGTCTGTATTACGTAATGATATAAGTAATAAAGGGACACTGTGAAAATGCAAACACTATGGAAGTGCACAAAGCAGAAAGTAAGAGTCTCCTCTCGGAACCTCAAGCCCCAGGGACAGCCACCAGGAACAGCTGACTTTGTTTTAACTTGCAGCTCTTTATTTATCAACAAGGTGGGCCACTTTTAAGAGTTAAGCTCCCTTCAGAAAGGAGAAAGCTCCATTTAGGAGCTTTTCCCTAGCATTATTTTGATTCTGAACTCTTCAGTGAGACCTGTGGTCTCCACAACAGAAAAGCCTCAGTGGGAAAAATACTCTGAGACTAAGGCACCTGATATGACAGGCTCCCTCCTGCTCAGGCTCACCCCCGCCACAGCAAAGGGTACAGAGCACACTGCTCCTTGTCACCAAGATCTAGCCACTTTCTCACTGACACTTCTGTACAAAAGCCATCGTGCAGCTCACACGTGCCCAGCCAGAAAGAACTACTGGATTCTTTGGTGAAAACCGATAGTGGGATATTTCTGAGGAATGCCATTATTTAACAGTATGGAATATATACATTTCCTAAATTTCAAAGTCCCTTCATAGTAATACCAGCCAGTCCTTACCCAGGGGTGCTTTTTATATTTATTTAGATCCCTTGTATTTTGACAGCTTTATTGAAAAGAAATTCCCTGTAACTAGTGAAAACACAACTTCAGACAGTGCTGGGAACTGCCAAAAGAAATAATTATACTTAATTATAAAACAACAGAAAATAACAAGTGTTGGCAAGGATGTAGAGAAATTGGAACACTTGTACATGGCTGGTGGGGATGTAAAACGGTGCAGCTGCTGTGGAAAACAGCCTGGCAGCTCCTCAAATGGTTAAACATAGAGTCACCACGTGACCCAGCAACTCCACTCCTAGCTATCGACCCCAAGGGAAAGGAAAACCTGCCTACTCAAAACTTGTACACAAATGTCCTTAACAGCATTGTTCTTATAGCCAAAAGGTAGAAACAACCCAAAAGTTCACCAGTAGATTAACAGATAAAGTATGGTCTATCGTACAATGGAATATGATTGGACCACAAAAAGGAATAAAGTACTGATATACATTATAACATGGATGATTCAATTAAAAGATTATTTTTTTAGGGCTTCCCTGGTGGCGCAGTGGTTGAGGGTCCGCCTGCCGATGCAGGGGACGCGGGTTCGTGCCCCGGCCCGGGAGGATCCCACGTGCCGCGGAGCGGCTGGGCCCGTGGGCCATGGCCACTGAGCTTGCGCGTCTGGAGCCTGCACTCCGCAATGGGAGAGGCCGCGACAGTGAGGGGCCCGCGTACCGCAAAAAAAAAAAAAAAAAAAAAAAAAGATTATTTTTTAAAAAAACTAAAAATAATTTTTAAAAACCCACAAGGACCTGCTATATATCTCTACTGTATAGCAGTAGAGATATATATGTATCTATAGATATACATGTATATTCTTTTTCAGATTCTTTTCCATTATAGATTATTACAAGATACTGAAAATAGTTCATATATATACCTAACTGAATCACCCTGCTGTACACCTGAAACATTGTAAATCAACCACACTTCAATTTAAAAAAAAAGATTATAAAAAAATGGATGAATCTCAAAATCATTATGTTAAGTGAAAGAAGTCAGACACCAAGGTCACACATTGTAGGATCCCTTTTATATGAAACATGCAGAACAGGTAAATCCACAGAAAGAGAAAACACATTAGTTGTTTCTGGGGGCTGGGGGACGGGAGAGAATGAGGAATAACTGGTGTCCTTTTGGGGCAACAAAAACTGGATAGTGGTGATAGTTACACAACACTGCTACCAGATGCCACCAAAATGTCTCTTTAAAATGGTTAAAATGGTAAATTTGATGTTATGTATATTTTACTTAAAAAAAAAAGAAAAAAGAGGGAAACAATGAAGTTAGACTCTTCCAGCACCCCAGGAGGGCCAGTGCTGTGCCCACAGCGGTCTGAGCTCTAAGTCAACAACACGGTCACTGGAAATGAGCTCTGCCCTCTCACCCCCTCCCCACCGCCCTCCCCAACCCTCCTCCCCACCCCGCCTCCCTGATCTGCTCTTCAGCCATTTATACACTCACCCTCAGTGCAAATACCACATTAAAAAGAATCATGGTGGGAGCCTCCCTCTTCGGAGATGGATCTGTTTTGGAGACCTGTGAAAGAGGCACAGTTCTAGTGAATGAGAGCCACCACCTCCCAAGAAAAGCACTTAGAGCTATTACTTCAGGCAGGGAAAGTGTTCCAGAATACAGCAGAACCAGAGAAAAACAGAGTCCTAGGTCTCTGATAAGCGACCAGCGCCTCTGCACAGGCAAGTGCTGGCTGCATGGACAGACAGTCACAGTGGAGAAAGGAGCAGGAAGGTGCTGTGACCCAAAGGGACAGGACTGTCCCAGTCACCTCGAGTGAGCTGAGGTGCCCAGAGGAGAAAAGGTGGAGAGGTGGAGAGGTGCTCAAGTGGCTGGAGTGCTCCCTGACCAAACCCTCCCTTCCCCACGCCAACCCCCGTGCCCACTTGAGTCCTCCCAGGCAGGACAAGTGCTCAGGACAATGCCCCCACCCAGGAGAGACAGGGCTGCCGCTGGAGCACCCAGCCAGCCCGGGGCCCAAACACCAAGCTGCCTACAAGTGTTGCCACCAGAGGGCAGAGGAGTCCCTGGGCCATCTCCATCAGGCCTGTCACCATCCCTGTCCCTCCATGTCTCCAGGCCGGTACTGCCAAAGCTCCCCTCCGTCACCCACAGGCCATCAGTGGGGCTGAGCCTGTCTGAGCAGCACAGGTGCCACCACAGCCATCTCCTCAGCCATGGCCCCCTGCCCTGGTGCCTCCATGTCTCAGAAGCTCCTCCTGTGGGCTTAGTCATGGAGAAGATCTGAGGACCACAACCCAGACCCTCACGGGACTTCTGGATTGTGTAAGTGGAGCTAAATCTTGTGCTGTCACATCAAAACCCTTCAGAATCTAAGTGACACTGTGTGCAAAGGACTGACTGGCAGCTTCTGGTGTGCAAATTCCCTTGGGTAACAACAGTGCATTCAGGCCCCATCAGAGAACGCATAGAGAGGGTGTGGCACAACAGTAAGAGCTAAATTAATAACAATATTGGCTATGATATCACTTAATAAGTAAGAAGAAATGCTTGTAGTACTTTATATAAAGTTCAAGAATCTGACAAACGCTGCTGAACTCGTTCTCTTGGCCTCCCCCCAGAAACCGGCATCATATCTACAAAGTAGAAGGCCACAGTCAGGAGAAAGGCTGGATGCAAACAGCAAAAGCCAAGGGCAGGGGCTGAGACATCAGGGCAAGGACGCCTGTGTCCTTCTCTGCCAGACCCTCAGGACCCAGGAGGAGGTGCAGCTAGGCAAGCACCTGATGGGATCTGATGCACGGGGCTGCCTTCTACAGGCCCGCGTCAGCCCAGGGAGGGCGTACCTGGCCCAGCGCGTGCTGCAGCAGCGTCGGGTGCCCAACAAAACGCACGTTATCAATCTTCAGTTCAAACTTCTGCCCACACATTTCAGACTTGGTTGCCAAAATTGTTGCCAGAATGACATCTGAAAACCTTAAAATTAAAAAAAGGTAGAGTGGAAGAGAGTTAACCAAGTGCCACAGCACCAGGCCTGCTGCCCCAGGGGTAGGGGGCAGCTGCGCACAGGGTGGCTCTGCTCCCACCGCTGACCTAGAAGCTTCTGACAGTCTCCCTTCTTTTTTTTGGACATTGGAGATTTTTCCTTTATTTTTTATTTATTTTTTGATGTGAACCATTTTTAAAGTCTTTATTGAATTTGTTACAATATTACTTCTGTTTTATGTTTTTGGTTTTTTGGCCCCAAGTCATGTGGGATCTTAGTTCCCCGACCAGGGATCGAACACGCACCCCCTGCATTGGAAGGCGAAGTCTTAACCACTGGACCACCAAGAAGTCCCTATTTTTTAATTTATTTTTGGCTGCATTGGGTCTTTGCTGCTGTGCATGGGCTTTCTCTAGTTGTGGCGAGTGGGGGCCACTCCTCGTTGCAGTGCATGGGCTTCTCATTGCAGTGGCCTCTCCTGTTGCGGAGCACCGGTCTAGGTGTGCGGCCTTCAGTAGTTGCAGCATGCGTGCTCAGGAGTTGTGGCACGTGGGCCCTAGAGTGCAAGCTCAGTAGTTGTGGTTCACGGGCTTAGCTGCTCCGCAGCATGTGGGATCTTCCCAGACCAGGGACCGAACCCACGTCCCCCGCATTGGCAGGCGGATTCTCAACGACTACATCACCAGGGAAGTCCCCCGACAGTCTCCCTTCTGAAGCAATCCCCAAGACTAGGGTCGCAAAGTCACCAGAACTACAAGGCGGAAGGTGCGTGCTGCCACCCTGGCCCCTGCCTGCCTGGGAAGGCAGGAGGAGCAAGGCACCTGCCCGGAGAGGAGGAAGCTGCGGGAGCCTGCGTGGCTTGTCAGGCTGGGGGCCTCCCCCACCGGCCCAGGTGTGCTGGGCTGCTCCCCTCAGCTCCCGGGACCCCCAACCCTCAGTGCTGTGCAAAGGCCGAGGGGAAGCACGAATTGCAGCGTATTGATCACTCTCCTCACAGCTCGGCTGCCGGGCCCTTCCCTTACCCTCAACACTTAAACCTTCCAGTTTTTATTAGGGAAGAAAGGTTCCAGACGCACTAGATGTGCAGACCCACTGACTGACATGGACGGAGGGATGGACAGGGCTGGACACCACGGAGGAGGAATGACTGGGTGCAGGTAAGAGCCGTTTGGATATGATCCCTGTGAAACTGCCCCTTTTCCAGGCTCTTCTGCACCTTCAGGTCTCCTTCCTGCCCGGGGGGCGGGGGGGTGGGGATCAGATAAGGGAGAGTCACTGCAGGGAGGAGAGGACAGTGCAGACTCTTATCTCAGAGCCCAGGCTCGGGGCCTCCACTCTGGAAACTCGGATGCACCGTGTCTAACCTGGAGCCAGAAGGCAGACAAGTCCTGTGCTCATTTCTCCACCTGGGGAAAGCATCTCCATCAGGCAGATCCGAGGACAGGTTGTGCTGAGAGGGGCTCCAGCCTCCCTGGGGCCACATTCTGTCCTAAAGAGCCCATCAAGGACAAACACTCAGCATTGAGTCCTGGGCTTTCCCGAGGAGCTGTGGTGAACGTGCACCACACCAGATGCTTCTCTCCAGGAGGCCCTTGCTCTAGGGGGAGGGAAGCACTTCACACCGGAACCCTCGCCTTCAGAGAAGGGAAGGGTGCTGCACACTGCTGCAACTCCAAAACAGCAGACACCTCCGGGATAAACACATCTAGGAGAGGGGCCACTCGCTCCTGGCTCCTCGCACACTGCAGGGCTCACCAACCGATGCAGGAGTGACTCAGAGCCACCTGCAGCAAGGGCCTGGCTACGATCGACCGGCACCGAGCAAGACAAAGCCCGGGACTTCCCAAGCCTCTCCCCTCCAGTGGGTGTCCAGCCTTCCTCCAGGACTGACGTGGTCTACTAGGCGTCCTAAGTCGCCCTGTGGCTCCCAAACAAACCAGATGCAGAGGGTCTGTCAGAATGGGCTGCCATTCCACTTGCACAGTCTGGGTTGCGGTCAGACCTTCTGACACCGATACCATCAAAGACATTCCGGGACACGTGGCCCCCACAGCCGGAGCCCTTGGCCTCCCCTGTGGGTGTCTCCTCCCTGGAATACTGCTCTCTGGAGTGATTAAACCAGAGATGGAAGATTCCAGTGTCTTAGACCAGAATTGTTACATGCTTTCTTCAAAAGCCCCCAGTGGCTCACTCTGCCCTGGAAGCTGCGTCTGGGGGCCCAGTTAGGGTGACGGAGGGCCCAGGGTGGTTGAACCTAACAAACACTGCTGCCCTAGAGCCTGACCCAGTGCCGACACTACCGCCCTATCTGAACAAACACCTCCCTCTACTCTGCCACCCACTGACTCAGGACACACCAATAACACATAGAAAAACAACCTCCTGCCACCCCAGAGACTACACTTTTTACTGTGATATCCAAAAATCTCCACCAAAAACCTCTGCTCTGCCACGAAGAGCCTCAGATGGGCCTGAGCTCTGGCCCTCAGCCACCATTCCAGGAACCTAAGTTAGCTGGGCTGTGGGATGAGGACTGAGATTCAGAGGCAAGAAGTGGTGGCCTAGCTCACAACTATAAATGTCCAAATCCAAAGGCCAAACAGAAAGCGCTTTCCCCACTTGGGCCCAGAGAGGCCAGGGTCTTCAAAAGTAGCCAACCAGAAAGCCAGGTGCTGCTCAAGTTAAAAGCCACACTGCCCTAAGTGGCCACTCAGGGAGGTCCCTCTGCTGTTTGGCCACTCTGCTTGTCTGAGCAAGTCTGGCCCACAGAGAAATCCACTCACCAGAGCTTAATATTACACACTGATGACAGAAAAAAACACTTGAGTGGCTTTATACTTTATACAGCACCTGCTGACATAACATGCACAAAGACAGAGTTATGTCCATCATGACATAACTGCCATAAATAGCAAATTGAAACAAAAACAAGTGTCAATGTTTGTTTGTTTTGGCCATGCCACGTGCCTTGAGGGACCTTAGTTCCCTGACCAGGGATTGAGCCTAGGCCCTGGCAGTGAAAGCACCAAGTCCTAACCACTGGACCGCCAGGGAATTCCCTCAATATTTGTTTGTTGTTTCCAAAATTTAGAAAAATACTTTTCCCTTGTTTTGATGGTGAAAGGTCTAGTAAATATATTGTAACACAATAAAATCGCTGCTACAAAAACTAACATTCCTGTAATAATTTAGAGATTAAGGAAAAAAACACATTTAGAAAGATGAATCAGCCCAGCTGAAAGACAAGCCAAGACCTTCCATTCCTGCCGAGACACTTGGGAACAGGGCTTGTTCTCTGACCTGGCCAAAAAAAGAAGGGACAGCACGGAAGAGAGCTCGACTCTGCCCCCTCCCGTTCTGGGGGCTCCCAGATGCTCTGTGCACCTCCAACACCCAGGGGGTATGCCCTGTCGGGGATGGGAGGGCCCCACTGTATCCCTGCCTCCCAGAGAAGTGTCATATAAACCCCATGGGAACATTTTTGCCTCTAATGGGCACACACAACAGCATCCAAGCCCAAGCATCACATGGAACACTCAGCCCTTGGTAGAGACCCCCACTAAGCCCCTCTGATAAATGAAGGCAAGGAACAATGATCAAGGGTCTCTCTGGGGGGCAGCAGGCGGGTGAGACAAGCAACCTTGCTCCTGCTTGCCAACCACCCTCCCAGGGCACGGTGTCTGCCTGGAGGAGGGGGCATTTGTGTGCATGCCTAGTCCCAGAAGTCCCTGGTGCCAGCCAACCCTGTCTTGGCACTCAGGTACAGAGAACCAGCTAACTAAGTCCAAGGGGAGAAAGGGCAGGGGCTGTGGAAAGCCTGGGAACTCATGGGGCACAGGGCAGTGAGCCTGTGTGCCCGTCAGTCCTCCAACACTGAGGGAAATCAGGAGTCCAGCACAACCACAGGAGAAGGCGGCAGGAACTGAGACAAAAGGACAGTGGAGAAGCCTTGGCCTTACCCTGCAGCCCACCGCCCATCGCCTGGAGGACACGGCTCACTGAGATGGGAACAGGACCATCGAGACCAAACAAGAACACAGCAACTCTAAAAATCATGAAGAGTTACGAGGTCGTGATCAACACAGTGCTAAGGTCTGGCAGAAGTACCACCACTTACATTAACTACTGCAGTCAAGGCTAAGCCACTCTGCCACACAAGCAAGAACAGACACTCCCCACATGGAAGACGTACTGCACAGTCTTTCCACCAATGCTCCAATTCTTACGTGTGAACCCAGGCCGGGCAAGAATGAGTCAGTTCCCAGAAGCAAGAGCAAGGCCAGAGGACCCCGGTCAGAGCCCAGCACCACACACACTAGCTAGACGCCTGGGCACAAGCGTTCAATCTTCTGACCAAACCATCTCAACAAGATCAAATGAGGTCCCACAGGTGGAAGCCTCACGAAAACTGCAGAGCGCTGATGAGTATCTCAGCCCCAGTCCCTGAGGTCCTGTGGCCACCTGCAGAGCTGACCTCCCTAACAGGAAGACCGCACCTTTCCTAAGCTTGACCTTCAGGCTGTAGAGAAAACAGACAATATCCACTTTCTTCTCTCCCTAGTGAATTCTAGAAAAGGGTTAAAAGAATTGTGATGGTCAATTCCTGTACCCTGAAACACATCATCATGATGTTTCATCTCATAAAACTAGCCCGTGCTCTAAGGCAGTGCAGCCACCAAAGCTTTCTACACGATGGAAAGACTCTAAACCTGCGCCTTCCAACACAGTGGCAGCTGGTCACGTGAGGCCACTGAGCACCTGAAATGTGGTCGGTGCAACTGAGGAACTCAATTTCTTTCTTTCTTTCTTTTTTGGCCACACCGCACGGCTTGCGGGATCTTAGTTCCCCAACCAGGGATCGAACCCACACCCTCGGCAGTGAGAGCGCACAGTCCTAACCACTGGACTGCCAGGGAAGTCCCAGTTTCTAATTTTATTTAATTTCAGTCCACCTCATTTTAAACGGCCACCCGGGCCAGGGAGGACAGCCCTGGGCAGCGCAGCTCTGCGTCCTCCCTCCCCTGAGGCCAGCCATCACCACATGCAGAGGCGACTCATCAGGCCTATTAACGTGCCTTTGACCTGGCAAACCAACAAGCAGGAACGTTCCACCGGTTGCAGAAGAAAAAGCACCTCTGAAAATGACAACCAAGGAAAATGGAGAATGGGTGTGAGGCAACGTCACTGCGTGGCTCCGGGAAGGTGTCTGGGCTGGGACAGGGCCCCCCAGGTGCCAGGGCAAGAGCAGGAGCTGGGCAGGTCTGTACAACAAAACGCAGCTGGGCCCCTGGGGGTACTGACCTGCACCTCTGAAGGTGGGGTGGGGAGTGGGATCACCAGGTGCTACAATGTGTTAAAATGACCAAATAGAGGCATTCTTCAGTTTTATGAACATCTAAAGAGACCAGTTTGTTCTCCTTAGGGAACAAGCATGTCTGGGGTCCTGACACACCCACAATGTCTTATTCCCTTCCCCTGGTTTCCTCTCTTCATTATGCTAAATACAGAATGAATTCCCCAGAAAACATCCTCATGGTCATTTTATTACAAGCCTCTGAAAAGTAACTGCAGCAATTAGGTGTTGCCGGTCCTCCTCACAGACTGTTCGGAGAGCTCTTTCTGAATCTTCAGCAGCCCAAGCCTCACGTCACGGAGCAGGCGGGTGGCCAGCCCTGCTCTGAACTCTCCATGACACAGGTGGGGGACAAAATGCACTCAGCGGGTGTGCAGGGGCAAAAGCTTTCTATGTGCCTCACAAACAAGAGTTTGTTCCCTGTTGCCATCTTTAAAGGACACGACATCCACAGGCCTCTAAGTCAAGCAGGATGACCCACGGGATATCCAGCAGCACTCCCCCACCGCTGGTCCCTCTTCCAGAACCCACTCCCCTCAGAGATAGTCACTGGTCATGGCAGAGGTCCCTGACATCCTTACACAAAGGGATACAAACCACTCTTGGAAGTACACAGCACTATGGCAGGCATGGTGCCGTGTCAGAGAACAGAGGGAAACCATACTAACACACTGCATGGCGAGGGCCCAGCATGGGGACCTCAGCTACTTTCCCACAGACATTACCTCACGCAGGACTGGCAATTTACAATCTTTTCTCCTTCATCTGGGCCTGAGTTACAATTCATTAAGCTTTAAAATGAACATAAGAAGGCAGAAGTGGTCATTTCTCAAGGTTGCCACCCAGAAAGCACTTCCCAGAGAGAAGAGGGGTAGCATGCACAGGAAGGAATAGGACCTGCCTTTCATCCGGGCCCTAAAAAGCAAGGGTCATGACAGCCCTGGCTCTCAGGCCACCTCACCACCTGGACAGGCTGTGCTGCACCCAAGCACCTACATTTGACCTCTGGACACGTGCTTGACGACTAGGGTCTGAGGACAGCACTGAGATCTGCCGTCCTGCACGTTCCTCTCATGGGAGATAAATGTCCTGCAGGGACACGGCTTCATCTGTTCTCCAACCTGCCCTACCAACCACACAGCCCACAGCAGGACCATGAAGCCGAACTAGGCAGAAAGCCAGAGACTGGCAACACAATCCCCACCTCTGTCTGCCTGAAACACCCACCAAGTGGAAAAGAGAACACAGGGTTCCTCAGGGGAGAAAACATCTGGGTCAACGGGAGGACCAGGCCCACCACAGAGTGACTGCAGAGCCCGTACCTGGAGTCGCCGTCCTGGTCCTCGGCATGCTCTCTGGTGCTGTTGACAGCGTATCTGCTACGAGGCTTACCTGAGTGAAGGCAAAAAGGGGAGAACAGCTAAGAAAATAGGATCCATCCACATACAGGAAGGTTGTTGAACCATTAAAAGTGATGGCTTCTGCTCTTGGATTGGAAGAATTAATATTGTTAAAATGGCCATACTACTCAAAGCAATCTACAGATTTAATGCAATCTCTATCAAATTACCCATGATATTTTTCACAGAACTAGAACATATAATCCTAAAATTTATATGGAACCATAAAAGACCCAGAATTGCCAAAGCAATCCTGAGGAAAAAGAATGGAGCTGAAGGCATAACCCTCCCAGACTTCAGACAATACTACAAAGCTACAGTAATCAAAACAGCATGGTACTGGGACTTCCCTGGTGGCCCAGTGGTTAAGACTTCGTGCTTCCACTGCAGGGGGCGTGGGTTCAATCCCTGGTCGGGGAACTAAGATCCTGCATGTCACATGGCACGGCCACAAAAAAAAAGTTTTAAATTATAGTTTCCAAGAAGCTGTGATAACATGGGAAATGTTCTTGCTACTATGTTAAGTTAAAAAAAAAAAGGGATTATATATATATGCACGCATGCGCACACACACGCTCTCAGTGTATGCTGGCAACTAGGCTGGAAAAAGCACAGGCAAAAGAAAGAATTTTTAAATGTCCATACAGCAATATCCTTCACATACAAAAACAACATCTTACCCAAATAATAACGTTTAAAGACTTAAGGACAGGGACTTCCCTGGTGGCACAGTGGTTAAGAATCCACCTGCTAATGCTGCGGATACAGGTTCGAGCCCTGCTCAGGGAAGATCCCACATGACGCGGAGCAACTAAGCCCGTGCACCACAACTACTGATCCTGCGCTCTAGAGCCCATGAGCCACAACTACTGAGCCCGCGTGCCACAACTACTGAAGTCCGTGCGCCTAGAGCCCGTGCTCTGCAACAAGAGAAGCCTCTGCAATGAGAAGCCCGTGCACCGCAACGAAGAGTAGCCCCCGCTCGCCACAACTAGAGAAAGCCCGCACGGAGCAACGAAGACCCAATGCAGCCAAAAAATAAATTAGAAAAAAAAAAAAAAGAGAGAGACTTAAGGACATTTATCACAGGCAAGTTTTTCATGTACAAGAGGCCCAAGAAGAAAACAGAAATGCTAACAAGGGTGACGAGGATGAAAAGAGGACAGACTATGTTCCTGAATGAGAAGATTCAACATAAAGATCCCGTTCTCCCCATTTAATCACCATGTTTAATGTGACCCCCAAAACAATAGCAATGGCTTGGGAGTGGGGTCTAACACAGTCACTGCTAATGTTTACAAGGAAAGCAAGCAGAAACACCAGGATGATGCTGAAGAAGGAAGGTGATGATAAATGACTAATCCTGGGCTTCCCTGGTGGCGCAGTGCTTGAGAGTCCGCCTGCCGATGCAGGGGACGCGGGTTCGTGCCCCGTTTCGGGAGGATCCCGCGTGCCGCGGAGCGGCTGGGCCC